ATGCAAACTTTCCAATAAAGTGAGATTAGAAACTGATGATCTATGTAAACAGACGCATCTGTAATATAGTTTTTTTTTTAGAAAAATAAATATGTTTGTGAGTTATACATTCCATTTATTTGTATTTACCGTGCACTTATCGCGAGCAAATTAGATGTGCTCGCCAAATTGACTCATAAAATAGAGCGCTTGATTATCAGTTGAGTTCTGTACCGAAATGAAAGTCACCTATATTAATAATATCGAATCAATCGTATGTTAACATTTGCACAATCAATACGTAATGCCTACGTGGATATTTCATATTCCACACACACGAGAACGTAAAATAACATCAGATATATCACGAATGCAGTTTTTTCTTAAGATATAAGTCCTTTTTTTGAAGACTCAATTTATTAGTTTACTTTTTGTGAAAACACGGTTTAAATCCAATAGATTTCTTTACAATAATCCAATCAGAACAACTCTCAAACTAACTTACGTTAATTTTACTATAATTCTACTATTTGTAGAATATTTATGCTAGTAATTATATCAAATTAACAATAGATATTGACTAAAGATTACTTGAAAAATGTATAGAATAATTATATTATTAACGTTATCAACATTTGAAATGTATTAATCCGGAGGATTAGCCAAAAATAATAATCTTCCAAATGACACACATAAATAATTACAAAGATAAAACGAGTAAAACTCATATTTCAAATTAGAAAACTCATATTTCATATTAGAAATTTGAGTTTGAAATGCATACAGATTATCTCAAACTGCGAGTTGTGCATGGTTTGGAGGTCGTTCGCGGTTTTGTTAACGTTCGCTGACGTAATCCGTTCCATTTGCAAAGTATTGGGCTTTCGATCTCCGACTAATTCATTTTTAATTTTCCGAACAAAAATGAATAAACAACGGTATAATTCGCTCAGCAATTTGAATAATTGTAAAAACAATAATTCGATACCCATTTTCTACTGGTCATTCAAGGTAACATTTAATAGCGAAACGAAAAACACGACGATAACGTCAGTGAAACTCGGGATATTCATTTGAATAAACCAGTTTTTTTTGTTGTTGAAAGCTTCTCATCTTTTTATCATATTTTTTTGTTGTCTTCGTTTCTTTGATGGTCGTGCATTTCATCATACGCAATTTTGACAATTCGAATGCACACGTCGCCACGCTCAGCTTGCTTGATATTCAGGAGGCGAAATTCTGTTGTTTTCATTTTAAACCTGTTATGTTGCATTCTTATACTGAGGTATATCATATTTTACTTCTTTAAGTTATAGAAATTTCAAAAAAATAAATATTCGAACTTAAATATAGAATCTATGAAGGAAATGACGTATTAAAAGCAACATAGCAACTTCTGCTGAAACTTTTCATAATAAAGATATAACACATACTGAAAATAGTAAGCTTCGGAATGCAACTATGTAGTTCTTGGTGATGAGGTTTATAAATTGTAGTTTCTACAAAACTATATTCGATGTATATGCAAGTAATATCGATATATAAGATCATATTGACTCATTAGCTTAAACAATAATACAATATGTAGTAAAAAAAACCAAAAGATCATGTATCAATGAGCGGCATCTAATAAATAATCTGTAATTAACTACACGTTTATATCAATGAAGGCCGAAATCATCAGACGTCGGTGTGTTGCAACAACGAACGAATCCAATTGATAAAAATGACATTTTAATGAGCAAATCATGTAACATTCGTGGAACAAAATATGCCGCGAAGCTTATAATAAGAATTATAAGAGTGCAGTTCATTTATTTATGTTGCCTTTTTTTCCATTCATTCGAAATAGAAGTGTCGCAATTATTACGGGGAGATGTTGGAAGTGCGAGCGGCGTTCGCATTCAGCAAATTGGACGTTTACCAACAATGTAGGTCATTTTGTTTCTTCAATTCGCATTTTGGTTGTGCAAATGTGCTTCGATAATTACTCAACCTGCGCCGGATTGTGCATTCCAATCGGACGATACGCAAGTGATCGGTAGTGGTAATTCGGGTGAAATTTAAGAGAAATTCACACACA